TCCTTCTGTCCTGCATTGTACCTCACTGATTTTTAGTGACATATTTTGTTTCTTTGCCTAGCTTTCTTTTTTATCTCTATAAATATTTTTTCTGATGTTCACTGTGAGAACTACGTAAAATCTTTTGAACTTGCAACTTATGTTAAATGGATAACTACTTAACTTCGGTTGCATACAAAAATTCTTAATCTTTACATCTGGCCTCACCTTTATGATGTTGATATTAATAATTATGTCTTTCTATAATGTATACAAATTAACACATGGAAATGATCATTTTTTTATTTTGCCTTTCAAATTTTATAGCATAATTATTTTGCACCATCATTATGATAATGCAGAATTTTATTCTTGATATGGGCATATTTTTTCCCAGAGAGTTATATAGTTGTCCTGGGAGATAGAAACCAGCCATTGGAAAGGCTATAAAAAAGCAGATGTGTGGAAATGTGCCCATAGTTTCATTCTCTTTTGATAGGAAATCCAAGAGATGGGATTTTTCTACTAAAGTGATAACTCAGTATCAGCATGGAGGAAGGGCTATGGTGGGTAAATGCAACAAAGTTTCAATCCCCTTCCATGTGGTTCTTGGTGTTATTCTAATTTGGGTTGCTATGAACAATTAGCAGTTATAATTTCTAAAAGAATCACGATTGTAAGTATATTTTTAAGGTCATAAATCTATGATGGAAGTAATACCGTGGTATTCTAGTGTGCTTTATTGCTAATGTGCTTTCTATACTTTTGTATATTCAAATTGTGAAGTATATTCACCTGAGACTAGTTATTGAGATACTTTTTTACTTTCATTTCTTTCAGAACTGTCTTCCCATTCCACCAAAGACCTGTTGCCAGAGCAGGGCATAAAAGACCCATTTCAGAAATCAATAATGAGACTATATGGAAGCTATGGCCTTGAAAATGTACACTTAAAAAGAGATTGGGATTGTGTCGTTGAGTGTAAGAAGCAGAAAGTATGTTCTAATGGTCTTACGCAAGGTTTGTCAAGTTGCCATAGAAAAATCTTCAAATGTAAGTGTATAAAAGTTTTTAGCAAATCATCAAATCTAAATATACACAAGACAGGACATACTGGAGAGAAAAGTTTCAAACTTAATGAATGTGACAAAATTTTTAATCACAGCTCTAATGTATCTGGACATAGGAAATTTCATACGACAGAGAAATCCTACAAGTGTGAAGAATGTGGAAAATCCTTTAACCGTTGCTCAAAACTTATTATACATAGGAGAATTCACACTGGAGAGAAACCCTACAAATGTGACGAATGTGGTAAAGCCTTCAGCCAGTGTACAAAACTTACTCTACATAAAAGAATTCATACAGGAGAGAAACCCTACAAATGTGAAGAATGTGGCAAAGCCTTTAACCATTCCTCAATCCTTACTCGACATAAAAGAATCCACACTGGAGAGAAACCCTACAAATGTGAGGAATGTGTCAAAGCCTTTACCCAGTGCACAAACCTTACTCGACATAAAAGGATTCATACTGGAGAGAAACCCTACAAATGTGAAGAATGTGGCAAAGCCTTTACCTATTGCACACACCTTACTCAACATAAAAGGATCCATACTGGAGAGAAACCCTACAAATGTGAAGAATGTGGCAAAGCATTTACCTGGTGTACAAACCTTACTCAACATAAAATCATTCATACTGGAGAGAAACCCTACAAATGTGAAGAATGTGGCAAAGCCTTTACCCAGTTCACACACCTTACTCGACATAAAAGAATCCATACTGGAGAGAAACCCTACAAATGTGAAGAATGTGGCAAAGCCTTTACCTATTGCACACACCTTACTCAACATAAAAGGATCCATACTGGAGAGAAACCCTACAAATGTGAAGAATGTGGCAAAGCCTTTACCCAGTTCACACACCTTACTCGACATAAAAGAATTCATACTGGAGAGAAACCCTACAAATGTGAAGAATGTGGCAAAGCTTTTAGGCTGTCCTCAATCCTTAGACAACATAAAAGGATCCATAGTGGAGACAAACTCTACAAATGTGAAGAATGTGGCAAAGTCTTTACGCAGTGCACACACCTTACTAGACATAAAAGAATTCATAGAGGAGAGAAATTCTTCAAATGTGAGGAATGTGGCAAAGCCTTTGCCCAGTCCTCAACCCTTACTCAACATAAAAGAATCCATACTGGAGAGAAACCTTACAAATGTGAAGAATGTGGCAAATCCTTTACCTGGTCTACAAGCCTTACTGTACATAAAAGAATTCATATAGGAGAGAAACCATACGAATGTGAAGAATGTGG